ACGTTTCGTGGTTTCGTGGCCCCATAAGGAGCTCCACCGAAGGCCCCAGTGGCTGCGTTCGCATGCCTCCCCACCACCCATTTCGGCACACCCCTCACACGTTTCGTGGCCCCACAGGGAGCTCCACCGAAGGCCCCAGGGGGTGCGTTCGCATGCCGCCCCCACACCAACTTCGGTGCACCCCTCACACGTTTCGTGGCCCCATAAGGAGCTCCACCGAAGGCTCCAGTGGCAACGTTCGCATGCCGCCCCCGCACCCATTTCGGCACACCCCTCAAACGTTTCGTGGCTCCATAGGGAGATCCACCGAAGACGGTACTCACACACACCAGCATTACTCACAACTGCATATGGTTGGGTCCTTCGCCAGGCTATTTTTTGTCATGATTTGATATGGTTTTGGGCCCCGGTACGTCCCGGCCCAATTTCGGACGGCCCGCTCGTGCCAGCTCGCACGAAGTGCTCCGGCTCGCACGGAGCGCTTGGGCGCGCCTCGAAGCGCCTGGGCTTGCCCGGCAGCGCCTGGGAGCGCTTTGCAGCGCCTGGAGAAGCGTCGGAGAGCTTGGGAGCGTCGCGATGGCGTCATGCTTGCTGTCGCTCGGGCTTGCTTAATACGCAATGCTTTTCGTCTTGATGGTTTAGGGTTTGGGGTGTAGGGGGGCGGGCGCAGCGTGATCTGCGAGGGGTCCTGGCCCGGGGGGCCTGGCACGGTGTGACCAATCGCAGTGCAGTTTTTAATACATGCTCCGCGTGAGGATCATGTATTAAAAACGCAGGGTTTAGTATTAATTAGCATGACGAAAGACCCAACCATACGTAGTTGTGAATACCGCAATTGTGGATATAATATATCCTCGGTGGCGCCCCCGGGCCACGAAACGAGTGAGGGGTGTGCCGAAATGGGGGGGTGGAACCCATGCGAGCGCAGCCACTGGGGCGTTCGGTGGAGCTCCCTATGGGGCCACGAAGCGTGTGAGGGGTGTGCCAGAATGGGGGGTGGAACCGCATGCGAGCGCAGCCACTGGGGCGCTCGGTGGAGCTCCCTATGGAGCCACGAAACGTGTGAAGGGTGTGCCAGAATGGGGGGTGGAACCGCATGCGGGCGCAGCCACTGGGGCCTTCGGTGGAGCTCCCTATGGGGCCACGAAACGTGTGAGGGGTGTGCCAGAATGGGGGGTGGAACCGCATGCGGGCGCAGCCACTGGGGCCTTCGGTGGAGCTCCCTATGGGGCCACGAAACGTGTGAGGGGTGTGCCAGAATGGGGGTGGAACCGCATGCGGGCGCAGCCACTGGGGCCTTCGGTGGAGCTCCCTATGGGGCCACGAAACGTGTGAGGGGTGTGCCAGAATGGGGGGTGGAACCGCATGCGGGCGCAGCCACTGGGGCCTTCGGTGGAGCTCCCTATGGGGCCACGAAACGTGTGAGGGGTGTGCCAGAATGGGGGGTGGAACGAAACGCATGCGGGCGCAGCCACTGGGGCCTTCGGTGGAGCTCCCTATGGGGCCAGCTCCCTATGGGGCCACGAAACGTGTGAGGGGTGTGCCAGAATGGGGGGTGGAACCGCATGCGGGCGCAGCCACTGGGGCCTTCGGTGGAGCTCCCTATGGGGCCACGAAACGTGTGAGGGGTGTGCCAGAATGGGGGGTGGAACCGCATGCGGGCGCAGCCACTGGGGCCTTCGGTGGAGCTCCCTATGGGGCCACGAAACGTGTGAGGGGTGTGCCAGAATGGGGGGTGGAACCGCATGCGGGCGCAGCCACTGGGGCCTTCGGTGGAGCTCCCTATGGGGCCACGAAACGTGTGAGGGGTGTGCCAGAATGGGGGGTGGAACCGCATGCGGGCGCAGCCACTGGGGCCTTCGGTGGAGCTCCCTATGGGGCCACGAAACGTGTGAGGGGTGTGCCAGAATGGGTGTGGGAGGGGGAGGAGGGGGGAGGAAGGGGAGGAGGAGGAAGGAGGAGGAAGGAGGAGCGCGGGGCGACGTCTCTCCAAAACGAGGACCCAACACCACAGGATGGTTGGGAAAAACAACGATGAGTGTATGCATACATTTATTCATAAATTAATCATGTATAATAATTCAGAGTTTCTTCAAAATCCTATGTATAGAAACTGCCCTGTAGGGATCCTGCCCCCGGGGGGCGCGGACACGCCGTCATGGACGAGGGATCTTTGCCCCGAGAGCGTGGATCCCATGCAGTTCGTCAACGATCATGGTCCTGGGATTGCGGACGTACGCCCTGGGAGCGCGTGCGCCCTGGGAGCGCGTGCGCCTTGCAATTTACAAGGGCCATTGCCCTGGGAGCGCGGACGTAGCGCAATTTACGGGAGGGTCGTTGCCCTCGGAGCGTCACTCCAGCGTAATCTACAAAAGGATCAACGCGGCCCTGGGAGCGCGAATCCAAAGTAATCTTCAAGGGATCGTGGCCCTGGGAGCGCGAACCCAGCGTGATCAACGAGGAGTCGTGGCCTTGGGAATGCAGACGCAGCCCCATTTCTGAGGATTCGCGGCTTCGGGTCCAGCGCATAAGTTTCAGGAAATGGTGGGAAGGGGAGGGAGGAGGGCGACGAGCGCTCCCCGAAACCATCCCGAAAACATAAAATATTGTGTTCTGCTCTGGAGAGGGGGGGGCTCTTCTGGGCAACCTCCGCGGAGTGCGCTGTGGCCCTGGGAGCACGGACGCCACGTGCTTCACGAGGGATCGTGGCCAGGGCAGAGCGGACGCAGCCCGATTCGCGCGGGCTCGCGGCCCTGGGAGCGCGGACGCAGCGGAATTCACAAGGGGTCGTGGCCCTGGGAGCGTGCATCCGGCGCAAGCTGCACGGATCGCGGCCCTGGGAGCACGGACGCAGCGTCATTCACAAAGCATCGTGACGTTTTCCACCACCACCACCATAAGCTGGAGGGGGGAAGGAGGCAGAGGACGAGGAGGAGGACGAGGAGGAGAAGGAGGTGGTGGAGGAGGACGACCCCCTCCCCCTCCAACTTATGGTGGTGGTGGAAACCAGGGCCATCATGGGCACGTCGCGCAACGTGCCCCCTGGCACGTCCGCTGGCACGTTCCGTGGCGCGTCCCCCTTGGCATCTTCCGCGGCGCGTCCCCCTCTGGTCGCGCGGCGCGGCGCCCTGGCACGTCAACTGACGTCCTCCCTCCTCCCTCCTCCCTCCTCCCTCCTCCCTCCTCCCTCCTCCCTCCTCCCTGCCGTGGCGCGTCCCTTGCTCAGTTGAGGTGCCTGGAAGCGTCCCCAAGCAGCGCAGTTCTGGGTTTCTTTCCGGGTTCGTGGGTCGATCATGTTGGCTTGAGATCGCCGTGGTGAAACTTCGGGCAATCCCAAGACGCCCACAAGACAGCCCAAGATGACGCGAAAGCGGTCAAATGCGAACCCGAGACAATCCAATACCGACCCAAGAAGGCTCAAAGACAATCGCAAGAACGCGCAGACGGTCGTGAGATGGCTCAACCGAGCCTCTTCGGGAGAGCTTGGTGGAACCATCGAGCCAAAGACTGCCCCGAGAGGACTCCCCAAGATGTGGAGCGTCTGGAGCGCCTGGGGGTGCCTGGGGCACTTGGGGGCGCTTGGGAAGCGCCTGGTGAGTATCGGGCACGATTGACAGCGTCTGGGAGCGTCTGGGGGCGCCTGGGAGCACCTGGGAGCGCTTGGGAGCGCCTGGGAGCGCCTGTAAGCGCCTGGGAGCACCTAGGAGCGCCTGGGGGCGCTTGAGAGCTCCAAGAAGCCTGCGATAAATGTCGAACCAGCCCCCGAGAGACAGCGCAACAGCGTTGCTTCGCTATCCATCGGTCGGAAGTACTGGATAAAAACATGAAGTGGGAAGGCTGTGAAAGTAGAACAGGTTCCCCCTGAAGAGAAGGGAAGAGGGAAACTTGCTCGACACGTTGGGTAGGAAGACGCCTAACTAAGGTAGTAAGAAGACGTCTACATAAGGAACCGAACTCTATCCACATTCAAACGTATACGCCACACCACCCCGACGTCGTCCTCGACCCAACAAATCCTGTACACTAGTAACGTATATCCACTTTCCGACTAAAATTGACTGGAATCGGGGAATCTCTGAACAGACCTACTATCAACGACCGATGGGTACAGCCGCGACGCGTGTTGGTATCGTGGCGCTGCCTGATGGGCAAAGCCCCGAAGATGGCTCTGTCAGCCTGCTTGGGAACGGCTCGGCAGAGCCATCCTTCATGCACGTCGACTGCGCTGGCACGGTGGCGGGCGTTAGAGCAGGCCGCCGGATAGCAACATCACCTCTGCGAGGAGGTCATGCAGGCCTCGTACCGCTCAGGCGTCTTGAACGGATGCAAGGACACGACATCCCCCATGCTGGGTGGGCAGTCAAGCCATCCTGGCGGCGGGTCACAGGCATCCTCGATGAGGATCTTAGTGTCGTGCTCGCACCTCACGCCGAGGACCTTGCTCAAGCATTGGTCGGCGAACATGTCTTCTCCCCACATGCAGTCGCCCGAACACTGTTGAGTAAAATGCTGTGTGCACTGCTCCCAACCGTAGAACAATCTCTCAACCGCTTCCCTTGAAAATACCTCAACGGGACCGTGCAATCCACGGGGGCAATTGACCAAGTAGACACCACCCTGCACGATCGGGTGCGCCAAGAGAACCGATTTGAGGCGCGCGGGGAAGAACACTGCATCAGGATCTGCTTTCACAGTCCAGTCATAATCTGCGTAATCCCCATCGTTCACCACCTTCTTCCACACCTGGAAGAAGATGTCGACGTTCAGAGCCGTGCCGAACTCCCCACCCTTCTCGCACTTCAAGTCGCTGTCGACCTTGGCCGTCACGAGGTCGTCCGAGATTTCGGTCTCATCGCTGCTGTACACTGCGTAGCCGTCGCACGCGAAAATGCTGACCTTCGTTTTGTCCAATGCACATGTCGATTTGCGGTGTAGTGCGTGCGTGTGCGCTTCCCTTCAGCTCCCCTTCTGTTCCCTGTGACGTATCCATGTGCCAACGGGGCCAACGCAACCGTATCCTGCTCGGGCTGCCTTACCCGTGTTTCTCCTGAGATTCCAGAACAACACCAGATACCAAGCAAATCCTATCCCGACTCTCCCTCAACTGTGCAAGTGCGGGCTGTGCGCGAGTTTCTGGCGACACGGAGGGCGGATTGGAGATCTCAATCATCGTGCGCCCGTCGTGCGAAAAAGACCTGCTCAACATCGTGGCATTTTCAGTGGTACAGGCCTCGGAACACATTAGCGAACACTCATGTCACATTCGTCCGTCAACGCCTCCTCCTCCCCCCAATGTTCAAAGTTGGCGGTGGGTCTGACGAGATGCACTTCGACCGCAGCGTCCCACGCGCGTGCCAACATTGAGTTTGGGGGGAAGGGGAGCGTTCAGTAATTGTTCCCTCTACCGTAGCGGAGCCGGTGACGTTCCACCGGTTCCCTTGCCGTCGCTCGGACGTCCATTTCCCGTGCATGTTTCGATTTCGTGCGTGTTTTTGTTAGCTCGATGGTCCAGGATGGTCCTTGATGGTTCTCGCCGAGAAAAAATGCACACGTCCGAGCGATGCCAAGTTCCCATAGGCAGCAGTAACGGCTGGAGAGGAGGACGAAGGAGGTCAAGCCGAAAGGGGCCGCGGCCAAGGCGGCAGGGTCGAGAGCCTCCGCCGGGCTGCGGCGGCAGCACCCCCGAGGTGGCGTGTGCAGGGGCTGGAGGGAGGAGCTCACGCCGTGGCAGGGCACGGCGGACATTCCCACAGGACCGGCGACTACCGAGCCAAGAGGAGTTTATCCAGGGGCGGTGTACTATCCAGAGCGGAAGGTGGATGCTGCCAGTGCGTGGAGACGATGGAGACGACGGTGGGCAGCAAAAAGGGCGCAATCAAGTACAAGAAGGTACGAAGGTACATGATGTTGGACCCAAAGGGCGAGAGATCAGGGGACTATTTCCACACGTGCATGGGCGGGACGTGCAAGTTTCATGATCGGGAAAAACGTTCCCACAGGACCGGCTTCGCTGAAGTGGCTGCTGAGCTGCCCGCTGCAGGAGACGGCGGGCCAGTTCGAGACGACGGTGAGCCAGTGTGCGCATGCAATCGAGAAGCTCCAGGGCATGGGCGGACGGCTGCCATGACATTCATGAAGGGGAACTGGAACACACAAATAAATACACACAAAAAAAAATATCCCCCATGGTTTCCCATATTTTCTGGGTTTTTGTCTTCCCCACCACTTCCCATATTTTCCCATATTTTCTGGGAAATCGACGATTAATTGTGTCTGTGTGTTTTTTTCCCTCCTGACAAATACAGGGCAAGAACCCCGCACACGACTGCGGGAGGAGCCGGCCGGAGGAGGCGTGCGGCGAGCTGCACCCCGAGGCCCGCACGCAGGGAAGCCTGGCCGAAGCCAGCACCCACACGCCCAGCAGCACAGACAAGCTCGAGTCAGGGAATCGAGCTAGGGGAACAAAGAATGGCATAAAACATAAAAACTAAAAAAAACATAAAACAAATAATGGCATACAAATAATCGATAGGGGAGCATAAACATAAAAACTCGGAGGTCCGCGCGGAGTTCTCGGATCGGCGCTGGACCCCCCTCCCTGGCGCGCGGAGCGCGCCAGGGGCGGCGCCGGAGGCGCCGCCGGGGGGCCCCAGCGCCGATCCGAGAAACCCGAGCGGACCTCCGAGTTGTTATGTTTATGCCACTTTTTGTTCCCCTGAATCTGAGGAGTGGAAGAAGCCACTGCCAAAAGACGTACCAAAACCAGAACGGAAAGGGGTCCGCAGCGTGGCGAGGAACAGATATAGAGTACGACGGCTGCGGATGGTGGCTCGGGGAGGACAACTGAAGGACCTGGAGGAGATCAGCCCCGGGAAGCTGACCAGGTGGGACCAGCTGAGCATTGGCGACGAGAAGGACCAGAACGGGGACGGCGTCATCCTGATCAACAGCGACCAGCTACTCAAGACGGCGAGGAGTGCAGCATGACCGAGTCTTCGTGGCGGGCAGCAGGTGGTGGAGGCTGGCGGACGGGCAGTTCGAGCAGTAGTTCGAGGAGGTGCAGAGCGATCTCGAGGACCAGGTGGTCCTGCTGAACTGGGAGGTCGAGGACAACTTCACCTTCGTAGACAAGGAGAAGAAAGACGTGGCGCACCAGCGGCTGATGGAGATCCGCAAGATGCGGAACATCAAGGTCGAGGATATGTACTCCATGCCGAGGGTCACTGAGGAGCTTGAGAAGTCGGGCGAGGGAGGTGGAGTGGCGTACGATGTAAAGGTGGGCAGATTGCCTTGCAAATGCTCGTGCTCGGGATCCAGATCTGGCGGTGGGTACTCCGTTGTGTGGCCCCGTGTGCGTACTGACGGAGAGGAACTATCCTCGGATGGACCCCAAGAAGGCTATGGCGCACCTGAGTGCTGGACAGCTACGCCTATGCTTCACCATCAAGGTTTTGGCCAAAGGGCACCTGGGCGACGATCAAAAGCGGATGTTATGTGAGGTGGCCCAGCGACCTGACGCCGCTGCTCTCGCGGGCCACCCGCGCGGCACGCCAACATGGAGACGAGGGCGCTTACGCGCGTGCCGTACGCGGGGAACTCATGCGCCCACGTCGGCGCAGACGACCCCGTTTGCTTTGCGTCGCTCACGCGATGGGGAAGTCGGTTCCCTTCGATCACCCGCACCGTCAAGAGCCTCTGGGCGCCCGAGATGCAGGCGCTCATGGATCTGGATGGCGTCTTCGTCGTTCATGCGGATCAATGACGATTCGGTCTTCGAGGCGCTGAGGGCAAGAGCTGGAAGAAGCCGACGACCTTCATCACCAACTCTCACATCATCGCGGCGGAGCTCGAAAAGAAGTGCAAGGGCGACCACGAGTACGAGAGCCTCATCACCGGGGGTTGTATGCCGAAGAAGATGAAGAGGGCGAAGGAGATGGCGGAGACGAGGATGCGGAGGCATCTGAGGAATCACCACCGGACGGAGAGGAAGTGAACGTCGGCTCGGAACCCAACGAGACGGGGAACATGATGATCGGGGAAATGCACGAGGTGGACTTCTGTTGTGCTCTCCGACTGAAGAAGACTTCGAACCAACCTGATATTGTGGGCGAAGACGCCGTTCGAGTGCGATGTGTGCAAGGCTCATGTGCGGCCAAAACCGGGGAGAGTAGGTGCGATTCCCAAGTTCTACCGCATGAGCCACGCGGCCGGCATCATCCTGATCTGCATCAAGGAGGGCAACCAGGAGCGGTTGCCGCACCTCTACGCCACTAAGTGGGGCACCCACTGCTCGATGTTCCAAAGGGTCCCGAAGGGCAAAGAGGCTCCTTAGGATGTCTGGCTGGCCTTCTGTCGGTGATGGCTTCGGGGATCTTCTGACCCGGGTCAATCCAGACACGGGTCAGCAGGAAACCAAAACTGCAATGCAACACAAAAAAACTGCAACGTAGGTCTTCGCAAACCCGGGTCAGCCGATATGCGCGGCCGCCTCGCGGCCACGAGCGGCTCGCTAACCCGGGTCAGCCAGAGAAGGTGTTCGCAGGATCCTGCAGGATCCAGTGCCCTGGCTGACCCCCGTTTGCACTGACCCCCTCTCTTAGGCCCCAATGGCTACGGGTGTTTGGGCCTCTGGAGACTCTGGCCGTGGACAAGGGCAACAAGATCACGAGCAAGCACCTCTGCGGATCGGGCTGCTGAGGCAGGCTGCCTACAGGGCAGTGTTTAATACATGAGATTTTCAAGAACATATGAATTGTCATGCATGCTTAATGTATGAATAAATGTATGCATGGACTCATCGTTGTTTTTAGTACTAAATCCATGCATGTTTAAATACATGATCCGCACGCGGAACATGTATTAAACGCGGCACTGTAGCGTCCACGATCGATGCGCGGACACCTTGGAAAAACGCGAAAACGCAGCGAGCTGGTGGTCACTTCAGTGCTACGTTTGCGAAAACGTGCTAGTTGTAGCCCTCAGAGACTCGAAGAAAAACACGGAGTCGTTGATCGTAGCGTTCGGAGCGGCGAAAAAACAGGTTCGTCAACCGCTCAGGGACACGTGCGAGTTGGAGCCCCCGGAGGCTCGAAGAAAAGCAGGGAGGCGTTGATCTTAGCGTTCGAGGCGGCGAAAAGCAGGTTCGTCAACCGCTCAGGGGTTGCTCCAGTGCAGAGGGTGCTTGGGCAACTGCCGCGGCTACCAGAAGCCTGCTCTGCGATGGCTCTGTGGGCGCCCGTCTACTTGCGCAAGACCCAGATCTGGGCATCGCTCGGACGTCCATTCCCTGTGTTTTTTCGGTTGCGTGCGTGCCTTTTTCGCCACATGGTCAAGGATGCTCCTCGATGGTCCTCGCCGAAGGAAAAATGCACACGTCCGAGCGATACCAATAGATACGGTAGCGCAGCGTGCTCATCGATTTCGACTGGCAGCACATCGAGCCATGGTGGAGACGGACACCCACGGGTCGATCAAGCGTTTGCTGGCCAGTGGAACTCGAGCTCGAATGCAAGTTCCGCCTGGTCCTGGTAGTTGGGTCGGAGTGTGGACGTGGAGGAGGCTCGCGAATGACAGTGGGGACAAGTGGTGCCCAGACTACAAGGAGGGGCGATGGGTGGAACCATGTGGGGCGCCTGTAATCAAAAATGGTTCGGTCTGGGTGAACCGCAAGGATGAGACGTGGCAGTGCAACCTGGAGCAAGTACGCTTGGCGACCAGCGACGAGTGCAGAGGAGCTGAAATCCTGACCACCCATTATGACGATCTCAGAGGGCAGCTCAGCAGGCGTGGGAAGCGTCATGGATTCTCCGACATCGCCGTTGATCGCCATACTCCAGACTGGGCCTAGGACGGAGATCAAGAATTTCATGCCCCACCTGACCCTGCCACGGAAACTG